GCAGCGCCTCGCCCGACGCCGGCAGGAGCCAACCCACCGCCGGTCGCACCATGTCCTACGCCGGCGGCCCCACGGCCTGCGCCCGCAGGCGGCAGCGGCACTACTGCCCCAGCCCGGTCACTCGCAGTAGCCGTCTGCGGTTTTTTCGCAGGCGGCCCTCCCGTTCCTCGGCCCGCCATGGCACCAAGGGGAGGAATCCGACGAGCACGACCAGGGCCGCAAGGAGGGAACCCTGGCTTCCCGTTCCGGCGAACCCTAGGACGAGGCGCGATCACGCACGCATGGCAACTATAGATCTCTTCCGTGCATGCAGCGACTGCCTCGATACTAGTGAGATTCGGTATAGCCTGGGCCTCATACCCAGCTATTACCGGCCCAACTAGTCGCGCGTGAGAAACCAAGGAAACCGGCCCAACTCGGCCCAGGAGCTGGTTCAAACGAGCGCCTCATGCCGCCCAGATCCCATTCGACGACAACGACGGCACGGCTGCCACCGTCGCCGGCAATGATCCGGCCCCCATCCGGCGCTCCGGCCTCGTCCTCTTAACCACAGTCCACGAATCCGGATGAATCAAATCGAATAACGTAAGGTTTGGAAGCCGTACCTTAGGTAAAGGGCCCTTCCAAGGCCTGATCGCCGTCGCCGCCGTTCTCCGGTGAACGACACGTCGGACCATCTCCTTCCTCTCGTCCGCATGAAGCCCGATCCGTGCCGGATCCTCCACCGGCAAGACTTTGTCGACGGTTGTGGCCACCTCGTCTTCGCCGTAACCTGAATGGAAGAATTCACGGATCAAATCTGATGGAGTCGGCGACGGCGGTGAACCCCCTGGATCTTCTCCGTCCCCGTCCGCATCCTCGTCGTCCGATCCAATCAGTGCCCAAAAACGGCCGCCGACGCCCGGGCGGGCCGCCGCCGCGGAAGGGCGTGCCTCGACGGTCGCTTCCGTCACACTCCATAGTGATTTGAGTTAATCAACCGTCAGATCTAATAACTAACGCACCGGATCGCCTGGTCCTACCCCTTCTCTGCGTGAGGCCATGCCTCTGGGCCGCTGCTCCGGGGATTGACCAGCACGCCTTCTCATCAATCGGGCCGCAACGCTAGGTTGGGCCTTCCTTGCCGCAAGCACCTGATTTTCTACCGGGTTATCATGACGCCCCTTCCCCTCTCTACCACACGAGCGTTCATGGCCTAATCACCTTACCGCGCTCTTAAACTAGCGGCAGCAGCAAAAGATGCCAAGGTGCCGGTGGACCTCTGGTAGCTCCTTTACCCCACGTCCATGGCAGTCGTACGTCACGCTGTCCACTCTCGCTATGTTTGATCGAATGACTCAGGAATATGTTAAGAAGCTAACAGGTGCGCGATGCAGCTAACATGTTTCTTTTAGAAGGAGTATGTAAAAGAAGTCGAATATGGTAATTGATTCATGTTTGACTACATTCTTACTATGGCTGCAGCATACTGCTTTATAACGACATTGTGTATCTAGAGGAGCGCTTCGCGAAGGTTCGGTACTGCATTAGCATGGTGCTTAAGCAGGACCACAGCATCAAGATGTTCATCACCCTCCTCATCTCTCATCTTTCATGTTCATTTTTCTAGAGTTCTCTTACGTGTTGCCTGCAAAAGAATGTACTATTTTGCTCATATTTCTTGTTATGAACCTGCAGAGGTGCTGAAAGTCGTTTAGGATGGTGATATATGCGGCTCTTATTCCTCTTTCCAGTCTTGTTGATTTATTTCAGTCCTAATCTGCTAATTGAACTGTAAAGTTGGCCCTATTGTTTGATGGTTGTTGGATCCTCAATCTGATGCTTCTGGCGATGTTTCAGGATGTTCAAGGTGAAGAAAGATAAGTAAATCATATGGGAGATCTTGGTCATCACAGCAAATAAACTACATCTCCCCTCACGCACTACATTGTCGACACCGGTTTGACATTCCAGCTCTTGTGTAGATTTTGCCAGGCCTATTCAATGTGCTTGCTTACACTGACATGGACATTGTTGTGCCCCTCACGTAGTTTGAGAGTGATGCCAAGCTAATAGACAACATGCATACGGTGAAGCTGCCCTTATATGGTACAGTTAGATGTATATATATATTTGTTGATTTTATGTGTAATGTTTTCATTTCATACATATTTGGTAGCTGTATAGAAAATATTGTGCATATCAACTCAATTTCAATTAGGCGAAACTACAAAAGTATTCCTTTTTTAATGTAGCACCATATGTTGAACAAATAGTTGAAGTTGTTGTTCGTTTATTTATTTAATCAACGGAATTTTTTGAAACGTCACACTTTTCTAAGGTAAAACTATTATTGTTTCTTGAGATGGACGGGGGTGGCAACGCGCGCTCTTATGTTCTAGTATGACAAGTAACACAAGTAACAAGTGCAAGCAGATATAAACTTGCACAAAATTAAGGACCGAAATAACTGCAAGTGGAGACGACGAGTTTGTTCGGAAGTTCCCTCCTATGGGGGAGATACGTCTCCGTTTGGAGGTGTGTGGAGGCATGATACTCTCGAAGAGTCCCAAGGACTCACCTTATTCTCCTCACATCCTCACACAATGCAAGTTGTCGTGAATCCACTAGCGGTGCCCTTGAAGGCGATAATGGGAACCTTCACAAACAAGGTTACGGCTATCTCCACAAGTTAACTGGAGGCTCCCAATACCACCACGGAGCTTCACCGTAATTGAATGTGGCTCGGAGGTGACCTCTTCCATCTAGGTTGCCCAAACACCCAAGAATAACAAGATCCACAAGTGCAACTATGGGGGAATGAAATTTTCTTTGGTGAAAATGTAGATCTAAGTCTCCTTCGTGCATCAATGGAGGAGAGAGAGGTAAGAGGCAGATGGGAGGTGGAAGAATCACCTCCTTTTATAGTCCACCCTCATATCCAATCGTTATGCGCAAAAACGCATGCTGGAGCGGTACAACCATCGGGTGATCCGGTTGTATCGGTAAATAGTTATCTACTGGAATAATCAATTGGCCACCGCCCTTGTGCTTCTCATCACCCGACGGAATCACCCTTATGGCGCTGGTTTGAGCGGTACTTGGGCCGGTACAACCGCCTAAAGGAGATGTCCAGAGATTGCTAAGTTCTGGGCGGTACAATCACCCTCGACCCTAGTTGCACCGTAATTAAGTAACTACCAGAAAAACTGAGAAACAACCGCGCATGTACTGCTCCATACCCGTGGGGATTACCCCTCGAACGGTGGTTGGGCCGGTGCAAGGTATGATTGAAATGCCAGCAATCAGGCCGATACAACGGCTTCGCGTGGTACAACCGTCGGGGCACTAGCAACGAGACCACTCCACAAAGGGAGTGGTACAACCCATGCTACCTGTGGTACAACCGCTCTGGACTTGTTTGTTGGAAATATGCCCTAGAGGCAATAATAGAATGGTTATTATTATATTTTCTTAATCATGATAAATGTTTATTATTCATACTAGAATTGTACCGGAAACTTAAATACATGTGTGGATACATAAACAAATACCGTGTCCCTAGTGAGCCTCTACTAGACTAGCTCGTTGATCAAAGATGGTTAAGGTTTTCAAACCATAGACATGAGTTGTCACTTGATGACGGGATCATATGATTAGGAGAATGATGTGATGGACAAGACCCTTCCGTTAGCTTAGCATATGATCGTTCAGTTTATTGCTACCTTTTTTTTTGTGGCCGAGAGGATCCTCTACTGCTCCTGGCTCAGAGCTTCACCGAGAGGAACACTTGACAAAACAAAACAACATGACAAAAATTGGTGAGTTGTTCTTGGCGAAGAACCTTATGTGGCCGAGAAGACAATGACTCTCAGCAAAAGGAGGTATTCGACATATCTTCTGGGTTGGACTTCAGTGCAGTAGTCGACAGCGACAGGGTCTCGGCATAAGCTGCGGGTCCTATTGTCAGACGCATGGCTACGTGGCTCCATGCTGTTTGTTGAAGTTTGTCGACTGTCATACCGTTTGATCTCGACAAAGAGGCACACAGTGGGACCCGTTGTGAGGCGCAGGGCTGGTCCTGAGATTTTGTGGTCCCGAGGCAAGACTAAAACTTGAGGCCCTAATATATATATATATATATATATATATATATATATATATATATATATATATATATATATATATATATATATATATATATATATATAGACGATGATGTTCTTTAAGCTTCTTACTTATATGCCTCCTGTGTACTAATCCATTATGTGCTAAGAAATTCCGACTCCTACTAATGCTAGACTTGAAGATCTTACAGGAGAAGCAAAAAAGTTTATCGACATCATGTGAATAAACTAGCCATTTTTATTATGTTTCTCTTCATTGCTTAATTTTATATGATAGTGAGATATGATAATTGATAAATGTCTTCCTGCATCGTCTAGATGGTATTCCGTTTTTCTTGTCCTCTCCCATTCTCAACTAAGATATCTCTTGCTTTATTATCAAGATTATCTCAATTTCTTGTATCATAAATATCAGTAGTATAAACTGGTTGTTCATAACAGTATCGGACTGTGCATGTGCATCCAACGAATTACCTACATTTTTAGAGCCACTTATAGTGTTATCAGCGATGTTGGTGTCCACCGACTTAGGCGCAATGCCACGTGTCATCCTCTTGGGAATGTTTGCCGAGTTTGTTGCCTTGATTCTCAGAAAAGGGTGTGGCACACCACAAGTGCCATCTTGGTGCGGGGACCGTCAAGTCACCTTTTGATGCCGTGCGCCTGCCTTTGGTTCTTGGCAACATGTTTACCAAGATCCATGTTACTAGTGTTACCTGCTCGGATTGAGGATGGTATAAACTTGATGGTATATTTTATATTGTGTATTGTGCAAATTTCCTTAGTGTCTCATCAGGTGCAATTGAAGTCTCTGTTGGTGTAACAAAGTGCAGAACACAATTAATGTGACATCCTTTTCGTAATCTTAAATTGCATGCAAAGTGGAGAACAGAACTAACGTGACATCTTTTTCATAATCTTGCACTGTAGGCCATCGACAAATAAGAGAAAACTACATCTCCAGGTCTTAACTATAAAGAGCATCCCAAACCATAGCCAGAAACCAAACACAACCCCGGCAATCACAAAGTAGTACATCCAATGGTCCTCCACTTCATCCTTTCTCTCATCTCGTGCAAGTGAAGTATTATCGCATGAAATGTGTAGAGGAAATCCACATAGCCCAGAATTGTTGGAGTAAATTGATGGGTCAGTCAGGGTCTGAATCTGGGCCCCGGTGGGGATCTTGCCCGACAAAAGATTGTTTGAGACATTCAACGTGTTGAGCCACGATAAGCTTGAAAAACTTGGAGGAATTGCTCCGATAAGTCCATTAGATGATAGATCAAGAGACTCGAGAAAAGTTAAATTACCAATGTCTTCAGGAATGACGCATGACAGATGGTTTCTTGACAGGTTCAGAAACTGGAGGCCCTGAAGGTTGGTAAGCTCCTCAGGGATGCAGTGGGACAACAAATTACTTGACAAATCAATACCGGCTAATAACCGGAGTGTTCTCTGGAAAATTAGCTCTTGGCCCTTCCAGTATATGTTAATCCTATCTTCGTATTTCATTGTATTGGACGGGTCTTGAATCGACAGATTTTGTGGAACCTTTATGCTCATGGAGGTCAAGTTGCTGAATGTTACAGGAATTGATCCGGTCAAGCTATTGTTTGCCATGTCTAGCAGTTGAAGTTGTGAAAGCCTTGATAACTCCGGAGGAATTTCTCCGGTGAAATTGTTTGATCTGAGGCTAAGGATTCTCAACAATGGGACCCGACTCCCGATCCATGGAGGGATAACACCAAAGAACATGTTGTTCCCCATGTCCAGGGTGGCCAGCTTGCTGCAGCCTTGTAGAACCGATGGGAAGGCACCGACAAAGCCATTTCCGGCGAGGTATAGGAGTAGAGAGAGCATTTGCGGCTTGCCTCAACCCCGGGAATCTCACCTGAGAAGGAGTTGTTGGATAAATCCATGTACCGTAGAGCCTCCAGATTCCACCAGCAGTGAGGGAGCTCCCCCGTGAGCCTGTTGTTTGACAGGTCCATGAACAACACATACCGGAAGTCGCACCAGCAGTCCGGAAGCTCCCCTGTGAGCTGGTTGTTCGAGAAATCTAGTATGATAATAGTGAGGAGCCTGCAGAGCTGGTGCGGGATGTTGCCGACGAGGCTGTTATTGTCGAGCCGGAGGGTGATGAGGTTGGGCATGTCACTGAGCTGCTGTGGGATGGAGCTATTGAACATATTGCTGCTGAGGTCAATTTTCCCCAGCGAGTTGCAACCCTCTAGAAGCGGCAGGTCTCCAGCAAAGGTATTTCCACCGAGAAATAGTGACTTGAGGGAGCAGTTGAGGCCTGCTTTAGCCTCAGGAATTTCACCCGAGAGAAAATTGTTGGATAAATCCATCAACTCGAGAGCCTCCAGGTTCCACCAGCAAGCTGGGAGATTCCCTGTGAGCCGGTTGTCTGACAAGTCCATGTACTGCAGAGACTGGAGGTTACACCAGCAGACCGGGAGCTCCCCTGTGAACCGGTTGCTCGACAAATCTAGTACCATAACGGAGAGGAGCTTACAGAGTTGGTGCGGGATGGCGCCGACGAGGCTGTTGTTGTAGAGCCGGAGGGAGAGGAGGTTGGGCATGTCACCGATCTGCGGTGGGATAGAGCCGTTGAAGCTATTGTTGCTGAGGTCGAGCAGGACGAGTGAGCGGAGCAACGAGATGCTGGCCGGGATGGCGCCCCCAAGGTTTGTCTCCCTGAGGTCCAGAACGGCGAGCTCCGGCAGCGCCGCTGTGTCCAGCGTGTCCAGCCCGCCCGAGAGACCGAGTCCGGGGAGCAGTAGCGCCGTGACACGGCTGGAACTGACATCGTTGCACGTAACGCCGACCCAGTCACAGACTGGCGCTGCCCTGGTCCAGTTGGATAGCGCGGCCGGGTCGCCGAGGCTGGCCTTCCATGCCAGGAGGGCATCGGCTTCCGAGGGAACAACGGCAGCCGTCATCGCCGGGATGGTGGTGGCCGCCAGTAGCAGGAAGAGCGCGGGGAGGTGAGCGTGGGCGCGTGCTCCTGCCATGTTCATGGACCTGGAGGAGTGAGATGGTCGAGCAGGCAAAATCCAGTCCACACAAGATCGCACGCGTAGACCAGTATTATATCGATGGATGTTTGTGTCGTGTGGCACGAAGTCATACGCTCTGTACGTATTATGTATGTACACGGGTTGTTTAATTTACACCGGCCTGACCTTGTCCTCCTGGTCTCTATGCATACGGCCGGCAGGCCGGCAGGCACAGCGACAGGGCGACGAACCAATCAAACGCGACCGGTCAAAGACAAGCAGGTCCTTTCACATGGGGCGTTTGCGCAGCCTACACTGATTATAGTCAAATCTATATCTATATCTATATCTATTACTAAAGGGTGGTGATATTCTTGATTTTATCTTAAAATAAGTTCGTTGTTATAGTTCATTTCCACGGGCATCGGAATAGGTAAAAGAACCATGGTGGTGTTTGGTAGCATTCGAACTATTGGAACCGTCACGCATGCCAAATTTCGGATGTTTGTAAGTTTCTTCTATCCGGAGCTCAGCGGTGGAAAATGTCTGTCGAGTACGCCGACAATTGAACTCGGCAGTGCTGTGTAACTTGGCAAACATCGGAGTTGCCAGCGAAAACAAGAAACTCGGCAAAATTCAAGCTTCGCCAGTTCCTGTGTAAAGATACTCTACAATGTTGCGCCACGCCAACATCCAGGCGACGGTACCGTGGCTCATTCTCCATATAGTTTCTACCTTGTTAATGATGACTGGACATTTAATAGGAATATGCATTTCACTCTCTCATACAAGGAGTATCATGTGTTAAGAACTTCACACCATGAACAATATCTATGTGTTGTAATTGTCTCCGCAAGACATTTCCTACAGCGCGCCGCAAGACAATTCTTCTAGAATGTGGTAAACATCGATGTATTTCCTATGTTGAGGTTCTGACTGTCTGGATTGTGCCTGAACAAGGGAGGAAGCATTTCTCTAGCAAGACGGTCATTGCAACACTCCTGGTATGTGTGGTTCTCACCACTGTTGCTTTCGTCGGTACCACGGCATACTACTTCCGCCGCAAGGACGCGCTCTCCCCGCGTTCCCGGATGCACTCTTTTGACAAGTACGCGAGATGGAGCAGCAGGTCGAACCTCGTCAGCCACTGATCTTCTCCCCTTACCCAACTGAAAACCAAACCCGGGCTCAGTGTCATCAAAGGCAAGGCAAAACATTTCTCTATATCATTTGTCTGTATGGCTGCAAAGTACTTTCCAGGAAGGAAGGACAGCCTTGGTTCTTATTTCAACTCTGATTTTTTTTCTCTGCCTCGGCGCAGGGTTCTTGTGTAGCTGGCCGCTCGTCGGCCGGAGTGAAGATGGCCCGTTCCCCTACACGGAGCTGGAGCAAGCGACTGGGAAATTCTCCGACGAACAGCTCACCTGCGTCGGCGGGATGAGTAAGGTGTACCGAGGCTAGCTTTGCCATGATAAAATCGTCGCCGTGAAGAAGCTCCGGCCCCTCGGAGGTGCGGACGAAGACTATGAGTTCCTGTCAGAGGTATAATATATTGAAAATCATGCTCTATTTTATTCTGTTATAAGTCTGAACTCTAAACAATTTTTCTATTTAAAGTCTGAACTCGGAAGAAGAGCAACACTCTCCTGAACATTGATTGGCATCTTCCTCTTCCTCCATGACCAAATGGACAGATGGAGCTGTTGTCGCGGTTGAACCACTAACATGTGGTGCCATTGCTGGGATACTGGTCGGAGTGGCAGGGTCGGCAGCGGGAGCGGCTGCTGGTGTTCCAGTGTATGACCAACGGCAACCTACAGGAGTGCCTGGACGACATCAACAGGAAGCCCAAGTACCTCCAGTAACTCCACGAGGCAGCGGCGCCGCGCATCCTCCTCCAGGACATCAAGTCCACCAAGATCCTGCTGGACGACCGATTCAGGGTCCAGATCACGGACCTGTGCATGGCCAGGTGCCTGATGGACGACGGCGTGACGAGCTGCTCTAGCTCGCCGGCACGGATGCTGGGTGGGCTCCTTCGGGTACTTCGCCCCCGAGTATGCCATTGTCGGCAAGGCGTCGCTGAAGTCGGACGTGTTCAGCTTCGGCGTGGTGGTCCTGGAGCTCATCACCGGCCTGCAGCCGGTGCACAAGAGGGGCGGCGCAGGTGCCGGTGCCGGTGGAGCGGATGAGATACTGGTGATGTGGGCGATGTCGCGGCTGCAGGTGTGGAACAGCGGGCTGGTGGTGGCGGCGCTGCCGGACCCGGCGCTGAATGGCGTGTTCCCGCCTGAGGAGATGCAGATCATGGCGCACCTGTCCAGGGAGTGGGACCCCGACGCCAGGCCAACCATGACCGAGGTCATCCAGATCCTCTCCACCATCACGCCCCTGGCCGACAATCACCGCCGCCACCACCTTCCCGCCGCAGATGCCGCATTCGTCCCCGGCTTCCATGCCGAGAAGCCGCAGGAATGCACGGTGTGGCAGAACGGCGACGACGGCCGTCGCCGTGATCACTTGCACGGAGGGAACGGTAGCAATGCAAAGGGCGCCGTCTTGTCCGAAGAAGTCACCGTTAACGTCGGCCCGCCGGCAACGACGATGGGCTGGAGCTGGCGGTCGGCGGAGCAGGAGGAGGTGGACCTGACGGAGCCGCTGCTGGAGACGTTCACACAGCCTACAACGACAGTGAGCCTCTTCAGGTGAACGTGAGATCGATCGAATACGTGGTAGAAGAGATAGATAGAATAGAGTAGCACCAGAGATCAATCAACACTTCTGCTTCGGTACAACCTCCATGAATACATCAACGGAAAAGATCTCTTGATACCGCTTCATATAATAAATAGTAGGATGGTCTATTTGCAACGAGTACCGCCCGCGCCAATACGCGTCATATTTTTTTAGCGGTATACACACGAAGTGTATGTTCTGCCCTAACACGGCCCGGCGTACATGTGAGGTCAACTGGGCCGGCCCACTAGTGAACAGTATCTGTAAAGATGAAACAATGGAAAATCCAAAAAAGCAGTGTGCCTCGAACACATGACCTCCTGCTCTCAGGTAACGGAATGAACCACTAGACCAAGCAAAAATTATGTTGCATAATTTGCAGCGCGGTTTCTTAAGAACTATAGCGTCCGTCTGGTTATTTGAAGGCCACTATGCCCACTCAGGAAAGGCGAGGCGTCGCTTGGGCTCGCTGGCCTTCAAATCCCGAACAAAGGTAGTATGAGATTTAAACATTTTTAAGAATTCTGAATGAGACTTTTTTTAGACGCTAACAAATTTGAACGTTTATTGGAATTTTGAATGCGACGTTTTTAAGTGTAAAACAAATTCTAACATTTTATTGAGAAGTGGAATACATTTTGGAACTCTAATTTTTTAAAAAAATTGAGAATTTTTTTTGAAATTCTAAATAAGTTTCCAAAACACAGTTTTTTTAAGTCTAAATTTTTCTGAAACTTGACCATTATTTGAATTCATTTTTTCTGAAAAATAAATAAATATGTTGAACATTTTATAAACTTTGCGATTTTGAAAAAGAAAAAAGAAAGACAAAAAACTGATTCAGGAACCTTCTAGAAGGTATCCAAACCAGTAAACACCAACCTGGAACCATCTAGAATGTTCCCAAAACCCGCATCTGTAGAGGCAACAAACAGATTGAAATGGGTTGAGCCATGTGCACTCCGTTCGGGTCTAAGAGAAACAAAGCAGCAATGTCAAATAGGATTTTCGCCCAACATGCCCCCAACGGGAGCGATGTCATCGCCTAGTTGGGCCAAGGCTTAAGCATTATTTTATTTTCTAATTTTTGTTTTTTGTTAATTCATTTTCCTCCTTTTTGAA